GTTGGTTAAGCACAGGTGTGAGAACTTGACCTCAAAAGCTTGCCAACAGTCCATAATTCCCATAACTCAGTGAATTCCAGCTTCTTCTTATCTTGCTTAAGCTTCCTCGGGCCTCTCCATGGCCTTGCTGTATCTTTCGGGATTATTCAGAGTTCATGTACCAATTATCCATTCTCCCGTGAGAATACTGCCTCCACAGTAAGGGAAATAGCAAGGGGAGAGAATATAAAACTAAAAGGGTGAAAGGGAAAAATCCAATACACACAAGTAATTCACAATCCCATTGCTCACCACCTGCCGACTGATACCCAGCCTGACCTGAGCAGCGATTGGACCCTTCCAGGTAATTCCCCCCCAATTTGTATACTGGGTATGATGTGCTGTGGTATGGAATGCCCCTTTGGCTAGTTTGGGTCAGGTGTGCTGTCTCTGCTTTCTCCCGGCTTCCCATGCCCCTCCTCACTGGCAGAGCATGAGACTGAAGTCATTGACTGAGGGATGCACTACTTAGCAACAACTAAAACACTGGTGTGTTATCAGCATTTTTCTCAGGCTAAAGTGGAAAACACAGCACTGCACCAGCTACTAAGAAGGAGAAAAATAACTGTTACAGCTGAACCCAGAAGAAGAAAATGTGAAGGAGTCAGATTAAGACCTGGCATATCCAGTAGTAACCATCTAGTAGAGCAGATGACATACTGGTGTGTCACTGTTTGTCAGGTTATTGCAATTTATGCATTCCTACATAAGAATAATAGAGTATAGACTGAGCAGTGAAGGAAGAGGATTTTGTTCATTGATTGACTCCGTTAACTACAAAGTACCTACAGCACAACCACTGTGTAATGTGCACCATTCTCCTCCTGCTTTACAACTGCAATGCATAGAATGAGAATTCATGGTTACACATAATAATCAGAAAAATTATATTTCTTAATATGTGCAATGTCTATGCATTGTCAGGATCTCTCAGTGTGGAAGGTTGAACACCGAGTGTCAAATCTGAGAGGGCGAAAGGGCAATCTTGGAGCAACGGCGCTTACTGCAGCTCTGCCCTGTCACTGACCTCAACTTCGGTCAGAGCACACCTTGCTTTAAACAGGGAGCAAAGGGGGTGAAGTGAAAGCAGTTCAGCTCCTCTGCTGCTACAGATCAAGTCTGTGCAAAACTCTTTTGAGGGAAGAGTGCCAATTTAAGTGAACTATGTGTGGTGGCTTGGTGATGTAGATTACTATCCATGAGGGACTGGGTTCAAAACACCTAACTCATTGTGTATGCACACATAGGTTAACTGATATAGTTAACTATAAACTAAGAGATCTATACTGTCATAAAAACTGTCTCGATAAGACCATTAAAAGAGTATAGTAGCTGCATTTTAGATTACTAGATTATGGATCTTGGTTTGTAGTTATTTCTTATACTGAATTTTTGAATTCTATTTCTGGCTCTACAGTATTTCACAGATACAGTCAGAAGCTAAGAAATGGCGCTCTACTCTAAAATGGAGCAGAGTTTTCTTTCTCTTTTAGCCAGCTGGATCTCTTTAGCCAAGATTATTCATCAATTCTTAATCCTTTTTTTTTAGCTCAAATGCCAGAAAAAATCCAAAATATGGGAAAAGGAACCCACCTGGGCTGCTAGTTAGGATGAGCTGAAGTGAATTTGAGCACTACTAAATATTTCTAGGTTGTCTTTTGTGTGAAAATAAAGTTCTTAATAATTTCTCTTTGGTGCAACAAGATTTAGTATCTCAATTTCTGGAACTTTATTCCATTTAGATGTTACGTGATAGTTTGTTATCGTATTATCATAAAATTTATTATCATAAAAGTAAGATAATGGTGAAAAATGTAGCCTTAATGTTGACAATAATGTCTTCAAAAATTAAGGGCATGTATTCAGAAACACAAACAACACCCCCCCCCAAAAAAAAAAAAAAAAAAAAAGATGAACTCTGGAAAAGTTACAATGAAATGAAACTGCAGGACTGTGGTGTCCTGTGTCCCTGACTGGTCTTGTGCTCAACCAATCTTTGGTATTTTTAGAAAAATTTTCAAAAGTTGTTTTAAAATGTTCTGCAGTATGTGGCTTATGTCTAGTCCAAATAGGAAGACTACAGAGTAAGAGCTAAACCAAGCAATTTGATAGACAACAAGATATTCACACAGACTACTGCAGGTATTTTAAAAGTTATGCTCCCCTTTCTTTCTGTCTCCTGTTACAGGTCATATGTTGAAGTGCTCTGTGGGACTTCTTGGTACTTGCCCTTTTGCCTTGATGAGAAGGCTCCTCTGCATCAACCCTGTGTAATTGAAAATTTGCTCACCAGAAGAGAATTTAGAAAGCCAAAGGAACAGCAACAATGCCAGCCTGCAGTGGATCTTTGTACTCTCCACACATAATCCAAGCTAAATTAAGTGACAACCTGCTTTGTAATTTCACATTTTTTTAAACAGTTCTTGTAGAAACAAATAGTAACCTAAAGAATCATAACACCTGAATAAATAAACGCATTCTCCTAAGCACTTTAAGACACCATTAAAAGAACCAGGTAGATATAACCCCATATATAAACCCAGAAGTTCTTCCTTTAGTCTGCCTAGTCTGGTTTATTTGCAACTAATTTTCCTGCTTATTTTGAAATTTGCAGTTTCTTCTTAGTATTTTTGCCTTTATAGCTCTCAGGCTTATATTGTACTATAGAAGCATCCTACTTGGAACCTCAATCACAGAAAATACAAACTGTATTAGCAGAACGTGGCTATATTTGCTATAGATAAAATTCTCCCCTTGTCTATGGATCCACATGTAACTTTGCCAAAAAATCTGTCAAGTCTGTCAAGTGTGGGCCAAGTGTGAACAAACTGTCTGTGTTTCCCAGATTGATTTGAAAAGATTTTTTTGCAGAACCCTACAATCCCATATCAGCATTTGTTTCACCCTCTCTCTGGGCCATTCCAAGGAATAATTTATGGAATGTTTTTATTTTTGTATTTGTGAATAGTGTAAAATCCCTGTAATCTATTAATCATCTGAACCAATGAAATTCACTTTTCCATGGATTTCTCTAGTGTTGACTCTGCTATCGAAGTGCAGATCCCAGCTGCACTGGGACCACTATGTGAACATCTCTCTCAAATGGGTTTTCTAGTGTCTTTTAAGGTCTGAATGATCAGAGCAGGCTTTTCCTTCACTTGAGACCTCAAATATATTTTTTACTTGTCCAGTATCTACTGTCTATGAAATTCAAAAACTGGTTTCAGAAGTGATTGGCAGAAGACACATACATATACAAAGACAGAAAAATTGAGACAAGTACACATGTTTTCAAAAAGAAACCTGGCTTGAGAAGTTTTCACAATCGTTACAAACCTTAACAATAGATATTAGACAGCTGACATATAGATAGTAATCCAAATAACCTTTGTCCAGTAAACTTGGTTGAGGGCAGGGTAAGGTGTGCAGTTAAGAGGACTAAGGGTTGACCAGCTGAAAGGTCCCACAGGCAGTTTTCAGTGAAGAATTACCACTGAATTAGCGTGTTTCTACAGCGTGAAACTGGCATTGGGCTTCACCTGATTTAAAATTTGCATCTGCCATACGGCAGTAAATAAAAAATCAAGGCTGATAACATTGGCAGGTAACATTGGAGATCAGGAAAGCCACAGTAAGCAGTCAAGATGGCGCAGCATCCTGCGTCCCTTCATGCAAAATATCAAAATAACTAAATACAAAGCTATACACTGAAGAACAAGAAATGAATATTCAGAACAAGAGACTGGCTGCATGCTGTAAAACAGTGACTGAATGGGACTGGATGTTTCAACAGACAAATATCTTAATGTAAGCTTCCTGGGTATGTGAAAGGGTTTCCAAGGTGAGTAGCTGGTCATTTCCTTAGTGCTCCCAGGGACATAACTTCAACAGGCCCTATCACCACATGTGATGGTGGAGAATGTGTTGTATGTGGAATAGTTCAGGCTCTCAGCTCAACCCAGCCACCTACACTTAGGCTGATGAAGGAAATGTCACCATAATTGAATTTCTGTGCATAATTTTACATGAGTGAATGAGCAAAGGGACTTAGTGGCAGAATAAATTAGTATAGTATCCATTCATTGTTTAAGAAATATTACAATGCAAATTCTTGCTTAGATCACATTGAGTTTTGATGTTTCTTCTTAGTTCTGATTTTTCCACATGAAAGGCCCAGGATACAAACAGCAATGGTATCACAGGTCACAAGCTTCATACTTTTCAGGGACCATCTCCCAGCAATGCCCATCTATAGCCAATCCTAGAGTTTTCATAAACAGCGCATTGAGGTCTGATATTTTTTAAACAATGAAGAAAACTCTGAACAGGTAAACCTGAGGGAAATATGTCATATTAATGGCAAGCATATTTTTCATCACACAATAGGACAATTTTTTTTTTGGGGGGGGAAATTAGCAACTTTTTCAAATGTTCTTTCTTCCCCAAATAATATGAAAACTATAATGTGACACTGTACTGAAGTGTGAACTAAACATATTCTTAAGAAATCAGGGTCAGTTCTAGAGGCAGACATCATGCTGCCCTACAGGACCTTCTGTCCACACCTGGCAACTTCTATTCAGAAGCGTCTGGCATCAGGCTGCATGACTAAAAGCATTTTAAGGACCCTTACGCATAATGTAAGATCAACTCCAGTACACAGAAACTCCTCAAAAAGCATTTGCATCAGCTGAAGTATTATTTTAGAGGTCTGCAGAGGTTAGGAGCATAGTAGCCACTACCAAGTGCTGACCACCATGGTGCTAAGTAGACAGCTGAAGAGTGGGAGTACTCAGCTGGATAAAAAGCAAATAAGTACATTAACTGGGAAAACAGAAAGGTAAGTTTATCTGTTGCACAGGGAACCAGGCAGGTGGCACAGAAATTTGCGATTAAAATCCATCAAAAAGGAGGCTTTCCAGCAGGTCCACGGACTAAGCCCTGTCACATCATTGAATGAATTACATTTGCTAATGAACAGGGCTTCAGCAGATGAAGGACTAGATACACTCAAATAAAAAATAGTAGAAGTGAGAAAGTTGATAAATGTGATTTTTAAACTTTTTTTGCATGCAAACATGAACCATCTATTTTATGCGCTCTTTAAAGCACAGAAAAAACCTCTATGTAGTATTTTTTTCTGCCGTACACCTGTACTACAGCCATAACCAACAGTTTCCTTGAATTAACTATTATTTTTACAGTAGCAGTACTAGTGTATTTTAACTATGAAAGGCTTTTACATTAAAAAGTATTTATCTTGTTATAAGTATTTCCATTAGATTTAGAGATTTGTATTGGACATTCAACATAGACAGTATTCAAAAAGGACCTAAGGTTGCGCTTTGTAATAAAGCTAAAAAGGAAAAGAGGGAATACAATAAACCAGAAACTTGTAACATGCTTCTGTGAGAGTAAAAATGGATTTATGTATTAAGACAAGCTTATCAATATGATAAAGTTAAATTTAGTGTTACAATATTTATCAAAAATATTGTAACATAATTGTAAAAACATAGAAAAAAAGAAATACCATCAGTTTACCTTTGTTTCTTTATAGGCTGGTATTAATGACTTAAAGCACTCAAATATGAAATTTATACAATGATCAATACGTTTCCTTATATGTTCTTTCAAATGCAATTTCATATTTAGATGTAATCATTTTAAACAACTTTTATAGCATCACAGCTTCAGACTAATGCCATTCATCTGAGGGAAACACCCCACTTCCACAACTGTCTGTCTGAACCATATGACCAAAGCCAAAACTGCTGTAATTTCAGAGTAGCAGACCAGGCATATGCTTTTATACATCAGAGTATAATGGGCTATGAGGGATCTGAGACAACACCAGGTTAGTTGGAAACAGTACCTAAAAGCTTGGAGATGCTGAACACAAAAATACATTGTGATAGAGGTTTGAAAAAGTATATCTGTATGTAAATTTTTTTGCTACTTTTGTCCTGACAGTAACAGCAACCACATGCCTGTTGCAAGTAAAAATAAATGACGAAAGAATACAGAATCTGCATGTCCACTTGTTTTCCTCAAAACAACAAGTTATCTTAAGGGAGTGATGTGGCCTGCAAAAGACAAGGAATAGTTCAAAGGCTAAATTCAGCTGAAAGGGAGGGTAAAGGTCTGTTTGCAATTGCTCCCTGACATTTCTGCATGTAATTATCATCCATCTATTTTAGACAGACACCTATCTCACTGGTTTTGCATTCAGTCACCCCATTTGCATGCACACTTACGGTAATTGCAAGTGTAAATATAGTGGGGAAATTGACCTCAGGCCTTCATTTTTTTTTTTTAAATGTGGTCCACATTTATAAGAACACAGTTAAATTTGCCACTCTGAAATTTTGCTCCTCACAAATACCAGTATACATGAGGAGTATTATTTGGTTTCCAAGTGTTCAGAAGTGAAGGAAAAAGGGAGATCAGCTGTAAGTAAGAATAAAGACATGTTTCAAGGAGCAGGCAGAGCTTAGGATAGGAGATATAGTGACAATATTGTGATTTACAGATCAAACATTCCAGCCAGAAGCTGTGTATGAAAGCAAGATACAGCACTGTTCCAACTAACAGGATAGCTCTTCGGCTGATGCAATTCAGCAAAGCTTCACTGGAAACAATGAAGCTACACTGATTTACACTGGCTTGAGATCTTGCTCAATATGTTTATAGCTTAATGGCTCAATATTAATCTAAAAATCAGAAAAATAACAACTTGTCATTTATTTAACCCCAGCATGATGGAAGGTTAAACTAAATACAGAAAGCCCATAACAAATAACAGGGACATTCTAAGGTCACCAAATGAAGGCTGTCGTTTTTGTATTCAGGCCAATGATAAAAGAGTTTTTAAATGTTTGGACATTCAATCTATGTAGTGCCACAACCTGAACATACCCCTTTACCAAACACAGGCTCACTAAATCCTCTTGGAATGTTGTTTACCTCTGAATAAATCAAACTTGACAGACTAGGTTAACTTTACAGATTCATTTTTCAATCACAAATGATTGATATTTTTTACAGAATACAAGCTACAAAATTCTTACTGCATTACTGACTATTGGAAGTCATATTGTTCTTGGGTGTCATATGGAAATCCAAGCCATTTTTCAAGTACTTTCAGCTATCCACCCTCTCTGTGAGAGCACAGTAGTGAGAGTACCTCAAACAAGGATCACCCAGCAGAGATAGTTTATCAATTATTTTACACTGGTGTCTGTCTCCTAGAGGCTGAACATGCTGTACTGTGCATTTTTCAGCACTGGTCCAGTGCTAAAATCCTAAATCCATTACCTTGGCTAATGTCACACACAATAAGGAACAAAATACTGAATAAAACTGAATGAAAGTTGAGTTATAGAGAGGTTTATTGTTAGTTGATTAAAAATCATAGCTGAAAATAGGAAGGGGAGTTAGAAGCTATTTGTATCATATGATTAAAAAAATTCTTTTGTAGGAAGGACAGGAGTAAAAAGCCCCTTCATTTTAAAATTTGTATGCATTTTTTATTCCCTTAATTAAAAAATAAATATGCATGTAAGTCTTATGATGCCAACAACAATACCCGTATGTTGTATTACTTGTTTGTCCAACTGAATATGCTATTTTGGTTAGTACCTGTTTAATTATTATACATAATACAGCTTGAGGTTATCTGATACGGGTGTCTATAGAAAAATGATTGTAATTCACTTTTATTATTATTATGACCTTGGTCTATGACAGGACTGAATTAAATATCGGTGAGAATTTACACAATTCACTGTGCTCAGGTTTATGCCACTTAACATTCAGTGTTTAACTGGAGCACCTAAGTTAGGTGGATGGATTTAGATGCACATTTGTCCTGAGGCTCTCTATGCTGTCAATGAAGACTGATAGGCACCGCCAAAAGGCAATTCCGATCTCAGATGAATGGAATTACCCTTTGGGGTGATTGTCACCTCCATTTTCCATAGGGGGAGACTAGGGTAGGTGTGCTACCACACTCAGTGCTTCAACTGTGCACTGAACAGTTATCTTGGGGTGTATATTATACATACATTCTGGGGAACCACATATCCTCAAATTGTTAATATTTAATATTATAATATTATGTTAGAAATTTAATATTTCCTGACCATAAAGTCAACAACCAGTTGACAAAAAAAAACAAAAAACCTCAAACAACAACAACAACAAAAAAAAAAAACAACAACCAACCAACCAGAAACTAACAAAAAACCAAAACCAGTGCATCAGCTAAGTTTTACAGTCATATATCTGGGCATTCATCAATTTAATTTTTATTCTCTTTCAATGTAGTCTAAAGATATTGTCATAACAGTCCCAAATACCTTCATTACAGATGGACATATAGCTTATTTGAGAACTTCAATTATCTTTCCTATTCATATATCACATGCAGACTATTAAGCATCTTATTTGGGAATCTTCTTAGGCTGGTGGGCAGGACTGATAAATATTGAAGTTGTTCTTCATTCAGTTCAACTAATGTGTGCATTTATTTCTTCCGATTCTAGGAATAAATCCCACTGATAACAACTAAAGTATCTCCTCCAACCTGCTGAGTAACCCTCCTTCCCTGAGTAACCATTGGTTGTTGGTTAAACATTTTCAGGTTAAGAAACTGAACCAAGACATTCATATATGTTGTAACCACTGCACTACTGCATTAAGAAGTGCCATCGGTTCTGTTCTTCCCACTTTTTAAAGAAAAAACCTTGTTTACTTCTTTGAAAGTGGAAGCCTGGGCACCTAGCTACAAGACAGGGTTCAGTGATCTGAGGATCTGAGAGGATGTGGGTTTCAGGTGAAGGAGGGGCCACTCTTAGCACTTGAAAAAGGTACCTTGAAAAGGTAGTGTGAGGAGTGTGACTTTCAGACTAGCCCCAGTGACTGCTGGATTGAGCGTGCTTGCTCAAGGTTTTTGTCGATTCTGGTTGCACATTTCATCTAAGACCTCTTGCAGCACTTCTTAAGCATCTCATTTCCACACTCTTCCAGGTTAAGCACTTGAACCAAGAAACTGAGTTTGCTGACCGTGAATGAGACTGTCAGGATCAGGATTAAAAAAACAATAAGACATCAACTGCTGCTGACTGGGAGAGCACATTACAGAAGCACCGCTATATTCATCTTTCTCTTAGCATCCCCTCTACAAAGGTCTGCCACTGGCTACCAACAGAGAAAAGGCTGTGGACTGTAAGATTGGATCTTTGGAGAAGAGTCTGTGTCAAGGGCTCACTATATACGCTAAATATGGACCAGTTGAGTTTACATCAGCTATCTCTAGCCTGCTCCCTTCGACTTACTTCTCATTAGTAATCTGAGTGCACTGGGAGCACATCTTTTTTAGCATTCATCTGAAAAGAGTCCAGCTGGCACACTCAGAAACCATGCCAAGATATGAGCCAAAGTATGATAAGTGGGAACTACTGGGATATTCACATAGTTGTTATCCAAAACACAACACTAACGTGGACACAGCCAGTGTGACCACTTTTGTTTTCTGACGCGCTGCTGTCCTACAACATATATATAATTTTGTCTTTTTACTTGAAATATTGGAATTGCTGTTGTGCTAGGACATTACCAATTAATGTAGTTTTCATAGATGGAATACAAAGTTTAAAAGATCAGACAATAATCTGGATTTTTTTTTAATACTTATGAAAAAAAACAAAAATGAAGAGCATCTTCTTGTGAGACGTTTGTTGGGGTTTTTTTTATACCATTTTTTTTTCTGTTTTATGCATTAAATTTATGAACCTATCGTTCAACAGTCCTCTCTCCATTTCAAACACCATATGCATTCCTATATCCTAATGATACAGAAAGACTTTCTCTTCCTTTTCAAGAAAGATTGCTGTAGAGTTATCTCTGAGGAATGGCCAGAAAGGAAGGAGTAAGGGGGTCCTAGACACAGAGTGGAAATTGAAAATAAAAGAGTAAGAAGTTTTAAACACAGTATATATATTTAGCAATAAAAAAACCCAAACAGCTAAGAACACTCTTTTCCACTTTGGAATTCAAAATGGTCAATCCATATTATCATACAATCCATGCTACAAAACCAAATTAATTCCAGTACATAGTGAATTTAATTTCAAAGAAACTCTGAAAAGTGAGCAGCTTCTAATGAGACCAACTTAACCAAAGCGTAAAGGATATTGCTGCTGAACAGATACTGGGCTTCAACAGGAACTTTGTTCTGTTTAAGCTGACATGTCCTACACTAGCAGGCTTACCATGAACAATGCAACTGCAAAACAATCAGATACTTTTTCAAATTCTGGATTTCAAAATCTGCCGTGAAATATTTTGGGGCACACAATTTACATCTGACACTTTAGAAGGCAGTTCTTGCTAACTAAAGCTTCTTTGATCTTGAGCATCCAGTTAGGATTTTCAGTACTGGTATTTCAGACATGTTAATCCAGTGTTCAACTAAGGCTGAAAAGTCTTCTCTCATTTTTTTATTTTTATGGAAGGGTAAAGCAAAAAATAAGCAAGCAGAGCACACTCTCAAAATTACATACCAGTTCTAGCCCCCATGTTTCTCAACTGGATCTGTAGTTGGAGAGTTGGATAGACTTTTTTTTCAATTTTAACAGTTCTCCCCACTTGTACACTACAGGAAGAATCCAATATTTTTCAAGGATTGTCATGGAAAGAAAGGAAAAAAAAAAAAAGAAAGAAAAACAAGGAGGAAAAGACCACTGGGTTCCAAATACCAGTTAAGACAGTATACATTATACCAACCTATGGTGTGGGTGTTACTGGTTCAAGCCCTCAACTGAATTTAGGCTGCCATTTTCTATATGAGTTAACTACCCAGCTGTAAAAAAATATTCATTGTACTATTGCACCTACATTAATTAATTACTTAATTAATAATAAGTCTTTAATTTAGGTCTTCCATCTACAAAGATATCACATGACAAGCAGGCAAGTGTTTGCTCCATTGTGAGTTGTTCTAACCTTGTACATCTTTTCTTAAAATCTATTGTAAAGCTCTAATATTAGCAGCTATCAGCTTCTGCCTACTAGCTTCATTTAACCCAAATAATTTTTTTAGTAAAAGTTACCATCATCTATTAAGTATCCCTTTTATCCCTTAAATTAATAGCCAGGGCTTTACTGTTCAAGCAACTGAAGGAATAACGTACTTCATAGAAATATACCTCAGCCTGAGCTGCTTTCAGTATAGAGGTGCTACAGAAAATTACTACATTTCACAACTGGAGTTACTAATGAACAGGAGAGTTAGCTGTTACGACTTATCCATAAATAAACAGTAAACAGCAACCTTTAGTGCAAAGTTCAGAGTTTAACGAATGCACAGTCATTATGTCCTGCCTGCTCTTAGTATAGGCTACACAACCACATCCAGTAATTATACAGTAGCTGGTAAGGAATCCATCCTTATTTTCATTCAATTCCTGACATGATTATATAACCATCCACTCATCTATTCATCTGACTTTCTGGCTATGTCATGGTAACTTACTTTCTTACACTTTCCCCTGCTAAACAGCTGCAGTATGTAACATACCCTATCATTTTCCTTTAAAACTTTTTCCCCAAATTATCATAATGAAAATACTGTTATCTATTATATCTTTTATCCACAATAAGCATACAAAATAATGATTTGGAAGGACTTTAAATATTTCAATATATTAAAGATTTAACCTAGGGTCACAATATCCTCATTCCTGTGAGGAAGCCAGATGTTGTTGAGCAAATGATAAGCAGGACTGATCTATACAAAGCTTTTCAGCCCTACTGAAACTCTGGCAACAGTCTCATTGCCCTCAGTGTCAATATAGCCAGGATTTCACCCCTGTTGTTAATCTGAAGTTTCCTTCAACAGTTGAATCACTTTGATTGTGAAACAAAAAGGAATTCATAATAAAATGATTTGTCTTGTAAGAGTTCCCATATTTACTGTTTCTAGGTAGAAACACAAATGAGATAAAAGAAAATGACAACAGATAAGAACTGAGTGATGCCCTGTGACAGGACCAGAGGCAGTGGGCACAAACTGAAACATAGAAGGATCCTTCTCAACATCAGGAAACAGCTTTTTACTGTGAGGGTGACAGCACTGGCACAGTGAGGCTATGGATGTTATTGCCAGCCTTGGAGGTATTCAAAAGCTGTCTGAACACCGTCCCAGGTAACCAGCTTCAGATGGCCCAGCTTGAACAAGGATTGGACCAAATGACCTCCAGAGGTCCCTTTTAATCTCAGGAACTGTGGTTCTGTAGCACTTGCCCAGTGGATTTAGACTACTTGGTCCAAGTAAATGCTGTTATTACGTTCTTTCTTACCAAACACTACCGATCAAATATTTACCTTGACCTTACAGAGAAAAAGTGCCTGCGGTACCTCTACAGAAGTAGATTAATGAAACACAGTAATCACAGCCCAATGCTATACCTCCTAAGATGTCAGCCAGCAATGGCTATTGCCCTCCAATCCAATTCGTAAAAGAGTATTTCTAAAAGATACCATAATTCCTTGCATTTGCGCAAGTTTCCTGTAGGACAGATTCCTAGTGACCTTAGCAAGAGTCTGTAATTACTCATTACATAAAGGCCCCTTTTCAGTGCTCAAGAAAGTGAGGAGCAGCTTCGTACCATCTAGATGACAGTTGAAGATGAGCAATATTAACTTTAAATAGAAAATTAATCTTTTTATAGACTATGCTTAATCCTTGGGCAGAACCTTACAGTTATTAGTACCACCTGGTGCAATATGCATAAAATTCGCTGCCACTGTTGAGACAGTCCAAAGCTTATGCTAGATTTCAATTCCACTTAAGGTTTCAAATAAGGATTTAAATGGGGTTTTGGAATGTGGAGTGAAAGGGCCGGCTAAGCTAGTCATTTGCCAAGGTGGTGCACTTGCTGTGAACTCATTGTGTGTGGTGTCTAGGCCTAAATATGCAAAGGAATAGAATATGCCTTCACTAAATTTTATAAATAAATTCTGACTGTACATATAATTTTAAATATGGGTTTCATATAGATGATAAAATATGTTGCAAAAAAATAAAAAGAACAATGTCTTATCTGGTCATCTGTCTTATGTGTCTTACCTGAACCACACAAAACTTAGCTAAAAATACTTCAACATTTTTTGCCAGACACTACAATGATAAGAATAAAATAAAAAAATGTGTAAGGAGCAAAGCCTTCTTCCAGTGATTTTTTCCAGATCTGCACACCCGAACATGCAAAACTGAAAAAAAAAAAAAAAATTAAATAAAATAGAGATTATTTTTTCTTATTGATTTGGTCAGTTGGTAAAAAGGGTATGACAGTAAGGGGAATGTACAGTACCTGCGTTTTGATCTTACTTAAGGTTGTAATAGAGAGGTTATACATTTCATCTGAGTTGACAGCAGTTTGAAATGTTATAGATAGGCTTCCTGAGCACAGCCATTATTTACTGTTTGACTGTAATGTCAGTCTTTTTCAGCTTTTTCAATATTGTTTGCACTTTGCCTTTGTGAAAAGGGTCTTGATTGAACTATACAAGGGGAGATATTTCTATCTTTTTATGGGATCAATGAAGATGTGTTTACAGGTCCAGGACACAGTGTACACACCACAATAATGGATTTTAGTCTGTTTGTTGACTGAAAGCTCCTTTTCTTTGTAACTTGTCAATCTTGCATCTATTACTTGATTGCAACATAAAAGGCTATTTGGACAAGCTCTGAAACAACAACTGTATCAATCTAACTGAAGTGGTTACCTGCACTAAATATGCAGCCCTTAGCAGGATAAATCACTTAAACTTGAAATCATGCAGGACTTTATTTTCCTCTCCATCATCCCTACTATGTGCAGTTTTCTTTAAAACATTTTTGTTGAAATGGTACAAACTGATGTGTGATTGCAACGAAGTAATGAAAATTAAAACCCCACACAGTTAGAATTCTGAACATAAGCAGAAACTGTATGAACAAGTCAGTGCTCCAGCATGTATCATTCCCACCACTGATTTCCTCTGTTCTGCAATGATCAATGCATATTTAGTCAGGAGTGAGTGCCCTTGGCTTCCAGCCCTCAAATTTTTAATGTTGTCCATTAGAAGAACATAATCCTTCCTTACCCCTCCAGATAATGAAAAACATATACCCTAAAGCATCTCATCCCATTACACTTACTGAGTCTTGAAAAACACATGGATTCATAATCTAAACAAAATTATTCATCCCCTAAAAAAACATACAGCTAAACCGTTTGATTCAATGACTTTCAAGAGCAAGGAAACTCCATGGGGTGGCAGCATGCAGCATAAACTCTGTCACAGAGCTTATAGTGTTACACAAAAAAACTAACCAAAACCACGTTTTGTGAATGTTATAACAAGTCCAAGAGGAGTGACACCTCAGGGAGCAAGAGCCAACTGTAGAAGTTTGCCCTAGACTACCAGAGAGGTAATTGTTCTGAGACAGAAAGGTTGCAGGGGCAAACGCTGTAATCACAGCAGTAGGGATAGAATAGACAGGGACTCAGAGTGCAACAGCAGCTGTAGTAAGCACTGATTTTTCTTGGGTTTCCTCCCTCTGCTTTGTGCTAACTAGAGCCAGCAGTGGGAGCGCCTGATCCTCCTAATTCAGTGTCTCTCCAGCTCCAAAGGTACACATATACACAGCCCATCTGCCACACACCGTGGGATTGTAGAGAAGAAAAGCTTTTGTTTTCATTTCACAACTGATTTTCAGGATATGTGCCAGCTTTGGTTCCAGCACACTTCTAGTAGACCACTGCAACTTTACAGTGCTGGAAAGTTAAACAGAATACCAAAGATAACAACAAAAGAAGCACTAATATGAAAACTGATGCAGCTCTGAAAAAAAAAACCAAAACAAAACAAAACAAAAATTATGTCCTCTTAACAAGGTTAATTCCTTTGAAATGTATTCACAAACTGCAGAGTACTGATGCATTTTTTTACCGTAGTGGTCATTTCTAAAATTAGCATTGCTAGAAGCAGCTATTCCTTATTCTCAAAAGAACAATAGTTGGCTTGACCTGCACTCTCTTATTCCCTGGTAGCAAGAACAGCAGCAAGAAAAGGACAGCAAACACCTGTTTCAAAAATAATTTCCTATCTGGCAGTGATTAGACTGCTATCAAGGGAAAATGTTGCAGTCTCAGTGCTATCATATCGGAAAGCTTCACTAGCAGTAACATTTTTAGTACCACAGCTTTTCAAGCTAAAATGTAGAAATGTTCTTTCTAAATTGCATAAGACTGTGCATGTTCTACTCTCCTTTGTTCATTCTTGCTCACAAAAGTTGCAAGTAATTAACTTCAATCTGAATGAGTCATGGTTCTAAAAGCTTGTGCTTTTAAAAAGACCATGGCAGTGAGTTTAAAAAGAACTGAGGGAGATCAGCATATAACAAATTCAAATATATTATTTTTATACACATTTCATATGCTGTTTCTGACATGCTTTTGCTCTTTGACCTTTACATTTCTGAGGCTCAGTAAAATAAGCCCCATCATAATTTCAGAAAATATTTGCATGGTTATTCAGCAGTATCCTCTTGCGTTTGCAGAAGCCAAACAGAAAACTAAAGGCAGCAAATGCTATATGAGCAACATTACATACAGCAAAGGGTTCTTGGGCCATCTTAACCGTGGCTGTTTAAAAAAACTGTTTTTGTGGTTACATGGAGTTCTATGTATTTGTCTGTGGTTTAAAGCCATCACAGAAACAGTGATACTGTTCAGCAGGTTTCCATACATGCATAGGAGAGAGGCTGAAGGAGTTATTCCTAATTTGGTCTGTAATCATATGGCAAATAAACCAGGCAAATCCACCACAACTCTGAACAAAGATGCATTAACAGGAGTCTGCTGAATCCTAAGAACCTTCAAGAAGTTTTACAGAACTTGTAGTTTAAATTATTTGTAGAGCTGTATTTTCAATTCCTATAAGTATCTTTGTTTCAGTCTCAATGCCGTATAATTTATTACATTAGTCATTGTAACATAGGGCATATGATACAGCCCGAAGAAAGAGAATGAATAAACTAAGTACCTTTCTGTCTTTTTATCCTGTTTTCATCTTCTATACAGGAAGTTTCTAATGATAGGAGAGCAGTAGGAGCACTAGTAAGGGATGGAAGTTGCAAAAAATCAGTATTCCACTTACAATGGCAGCCAGTAAACAGATTTCTGTAAAGCACAGTATATAAAGAAACAGTTAAGAAACGTTGTTTTTTTTAGACAGGGGACACAATTAAAATAATCACTAAATATCTATAATAAAATATATGCTACAGTGTCTTGCGATTTCTGGTAGCAAAAACCAGGATGAGGTGCTACTTGTTAACTTTATACACGCATCTGAAAGATCCAAGTTGTAGAAAGGCAGCAGTACAAGCTAGTGGCAGCCTCACAGCATCAGTAGTTTAATGCTGCCATTTCAAGTGATGTTGGTGGACTCAACCTTTTTAACACAAAAATATCTGTCTAAATAAGCAAAATACAACCAAATGGCACAAAGAAAGAAGCCTAAACTTAACAGAGCTGACTTTTCATACATTGCTCCAAGAGCCATCAATGTAGGATGCTAAACTTCAGTAAATCAGAGGCAGGGTGAGTGTAAGTATGACAAAGATAACAAATTTGAGTAAAATTAAAAGGACGTGACACTTTCTGCTGTTTTCATTTAAATTCTTACAAGTTTGAGATCCGGAGAAACTTAAAAGCACTTTCTACCCCTGAATTAATTTGTAGACACTGGGGAAATAGCACACTTTTTCCCCTTAAAGATACAGTGTGCGTTTCCATCAAGTCAGTTGAAGCTGCCCTGGTTTTTCTCCTGAACTGGCTTCCCACTTGGCAGCCTCATGTCATCTCAATGCCACTACCTCTGTCAATCCCAGCCAAGGTTTTTTTTTGTCAGCCATGAGTAGAAATAAAAGAAAAACTGTCCATATACATTCTTTTCAAACCTTGATAAAGACACTGTTTTTGTGGTTAGTGTACAAATGTTCAAGCCTTAGCTGGATAGCTTCTTCTAGTCCACCTGATCACGTCAGACCAACAAGCCTTGATTATGCTTTCTATGTGTTGTAATATGTACAAGTCAGATAATAAACAAGTATTTTGTTTATTTGTTTTCTTGTTTTTTAGCAGTTGTAAAGATAAATGATTTTTAACGGTGCTATTTAATAAAAGGAAAGACCACACCACTACTGAATTTCTGATGCTTTTTTAAGGACATGTGCAAAATTTACAATACAAGGATACAAAAATTTCTTTTTCAATATACAGGTTGTTAAATGAGCGTGACTAATTTGGTGGTAACAGCACTGCCTCATTCCTGGCTCAAAAGGCTCTCTGTGCAAATCACATAAGACAATTAATAGAAAAAATACATAGAACAGGGAAGAATGGAACAGGATAAGTTCTGGGGCTTTTCTCCCCTCATAAGTTCCAAATAATGTCATCATGGTTATCACTCTTTTCAGCTCAGTGATTCATGGTGGGGTTTCTTCAGCCCAGAGGAAAACTTTTAGTAGAAAAGGAGTGACAACGTAGACATCTCAAAGCACCGTTGGAGTCAGAGCAGTCTCAGTACAACTGAGAGAGCTTTAGCATTATTTGATACAGATGGTTTAACCATGGCTTAACCATGCCAATTGCAAGGTCCTACACCTTGGTCGGAGCAATCCCAGGCTATCCGGGGTTCAGCAGCAGCAGTCGTTTGTCTCCTTCGCAGTAGCTGGTGCAGTGCTGTGGTTTTGACTTTCAGCCTGGGAACAGTGCTGATAACACCAATGTTTTTAGTTGTTGCTCAGCAATGTTTACTCTGACCAAGGACTTAGTGAGTCTCATGCTCTGACAGGGAGGAGAGGAAGCTGGGAGGAAGCAGAGACAGGACACCTGACCCAAACTAGCCAAAGGAGTATTCCATACCACAGCACATCATGGCCACTATATAAACTGGGGGCAGTTACACGGAAGGGTTAGATCACTGCTCAGGTTGGGCTGGGTATCAGTTTGCGGGTGGTGAGATGTTGTATTCTCTTTCCTTGTTATTTAT